CATGAAATGTTAAATTTTTAGGTTAATTTATTTAATCATTACTACCTTAAGAGATAGGTATTACTGTGTCCATTTTATAGTTGCTGAAAACTGACCCCCAAAAGTTAAGTTTCTTACTCAACCATAAGTAGCAGATCCACAAGTCTTTTAAAAAATTACTTAAATTGTATTAAATTCACTCAGTGCAAGCTATCATGTGCTTTGAGCTGGGAATATACCAATGAACAAGATGCAGTGGTCCTATCCCTCAAAGAAGCTCACATTCTAGACAGATGACATGGAACAAGTAACTATTAATGTGATAAATCTTATGAAAGGGGAAATAGGTTGTGAAAGAGGATTTAATCTGGTCTTCAACATCTGTCTATGTGCAAGACATTTAAATTACAATATGAAGTGCAGGTAGGAGTTAACTGGGTGAAGAGTAGGCATGGAAAACTATTCCTTGTAGAGGGAACAGTATGTGCTAAGGCGCTAAGATGATATGTCACTACAATGTTCTGACAAAACCAATTGTCCACAGTTCTGGCTTGAAACAATATTTCTCCCACATGGGTCTGTGGGTTGGCTGCAGCTTGGCTGGACTCCAAGGTTCGGGTCTCCCTCACATGTTGCTCATGCCTTTTGATGGGCGATTTCCTAGAACATGCCCCTTTTACAGCACATGGCAGGGAGCACAGAAGCCCAATTTAAATCACTTGAGTGCATTTAAGGCCTCATGGCATGTTCAGGAATATTTCATTGGCTAAAGCAAGCTGTATGGTCAAACCCGAAATACGTGGGGTGGGAAAATATTTTACCCACAGTGAATAGTACTTCAGAGTCACACATAACACAGGATGTGGATGAATAATTTAATATTGGAAACTGTGAAAACTTGTAAAAAATGACTTTGTCAGCCACACCTGGATTTTTTAAGGAACCCTTTGTTAGTGTGGCTAAAGTGTAATGAGTGAGCTGGGGAATGGTACTACTGGCTGCTCTGGTAATTAGTTGTTACTGGGAAATTCTTATTATGGAGATTTTATATATTTTAAGCTCACTCCAAAAGATAATAACTTATCCATCTTCTACCTGAACTTTATTTTCGCAGAACTGACCAACACTGAAACACCACAGTTGTCCCACAGGGCTAATACAGTGCCAACTGGACTGGATATCCCTCCCCTGCTGAGTGGCAAGCACTGTATCACACCTCTGAGTGACAGGGCACATTCAGAAGCGGTGCCTCAGAGGCAGTGAAACCAGAGTTTGACCCCCTGAGCAAACAGCGTTAAATTTAGTTGCTACTCATTCTCTGGGAATGGAGGTCAGCTATTTTATCCACAGTGAATAAGACAAACCAGCCATAAAACGTGAGGAAACATCTAATTTGACTACTTTATGCCATGAAACTCAATCTTCTATTTAGTCAGATCACTTTGATAATGTTATAAGAATAGTTCAGTTTATTTTTACCCATCTCTGTACAGATGCATTCATTTGCTTTACAAGTGCTTAGATCTAATGCTTGAATGAACAGGTGTAGGGACAGGCGCTGGCCAAATATAAACCAGTACAGTTCATACAGTTCATGTGTTTACAGGCATGGGCATCTTTTTTAAAGAAAATTTATTCCACGCAGACAGCCGTGGCATTCTTAGCTGTCAGGGTATATTCTGCCACAGAAAACTATTAGTTTCAGTTAAGATGATTTTCTCCCCCTTTTGCTGATAAGAAGAGATTAGATGGAAATCACTACCACTGTGATTATCTCATTTTGGAGTCAGATTTTCCCTTTCCTTTGCTATAAGCTCAATTTTATAATCTTGAGGATTTAAAATAGAATCCATTATTCTTTCTGACAATACTTATTTCCCATGAAAACAAGATTTTTGCTAGCTAGCTCACAGTTAATATCCTTATGAAGCATGAGCCATTTCAATGGATATCAGTGGTTTTAACAAATATGCTGTGTTTGGAGGAATTCCTCTCCCCTCATTTTGTTCTCAGTTATGTAAGCCTTCTGCTTGGTTACATTATTGTATTTCATTGCCCCATTTATTTGCAATGCTACATTTAAATAAACTCCAGTTTTCTGGTTTCCTCTTCTGATAAACTTTGATTCTTCTTCTTTGAGGACCTGTTTATATTTATGTGTGTTTTTTTGCTCTTTTTCACTGGTCACCCCTTCAAAACTCAGCACATTGTATATATTTCTGGTAACATCAGTCTTGGGAGAGATGCATTCTCTTACAGATTCCCTAAGTGGGAATCTGAGGACAGAGAAGAAAAATACCGTAATTGTCAGAAACGAATGCACTTCCCGACTCCTGATGGCTAGTCTTTCAGAGGGGCTGAGGAAATCATTGCGTGTGTGTGTGTGTGTGTGTGTGTGTGTGTGTGTAGGTGCCATTCTACGCATTGAAGAGGCGCTGACTTCCACGGAGGAGTCCTGAGGCTGTGTTGCAGAGGGCTGGCAGACCGAGCTCGAGCTGGCTCCGTGAGTTCTGTTCATGGGCCTATCACTTCCCAGTGGGCTATTTTTGCACAGAGAAATGGACTTACTTAGTTTTTCCCTCTGAACAGTGAAAATGGTAATATTATTTTTACTGCAGTTTTAAATGTTTAAATGAGCCCAGCCAAATGAAAGCTGTAGCTGCATTGCAAAATCAGTCTAATTAATATTTCTGCCAGATTCTGCTCTGCCCCACAGACCGACTTGTTTACCTCAACTGACCAAATTAACACTCTTTTCCCATTGTAAAGACCCAAACTCTTAAAAGAATTACAGCCCAATTGCTCCAGACAAATGGCTCTTAAAACCTTTAAAAAGTTTAGAACCTTTAATATCAGCTAGCATAGCTTCCTCTGAAAATAATAGAATTATATCAGGCCACCTTTTGAGGATGGTGTGAGATTTAAATGAAAGGCCACTTTGAGTATTACTGGATTAAATCACACAGTTTTACATATTTGGACTAGATGTCAAGTTAGCCTGCTGCAGTGACAGAACTCGAAGCTTGAAAGACCTGAATGTGACTTTTGTTCCTCTCTGGTTACGTGATCCCCAAACCCAGGGCCACCGAGTCTCATCAGCGAGGTGGGTCCGCGCTCGTTTTCCCTCCTTCCTTGGGGTGCTTGTCACATTCAAGTGGTGTGATGGGTAGGGACATTGGTAGAAAACTGCAGAACCATACAATGTGATTTTAGAAGAAAATTTAGACGTATTTTGTTTTCATTGCTCCTGTTTAATAATAGTGACCTGTTCATTGTATTACCTATTGGAGTTTCTGGTTGATACAGGAAGAGAAGAAAAAAGAAAAAAAAAAGATGTAAGGGTTGGATGAGCAGATTTAATCAACAAACTGAAATAAGAAACTTTAGCAAGGATGGTGAACACCTGATCAGCTTCAGAAAATGATTAGTCTTCATCGACTTTAGCAAAACCCTCTAGGAAACACAATACAAAATAAGGTACCATTCTTAAACTGCGAAGTAGCTAGGAAAACAACTGAACAGAGCCTTTTCTGAGAAAATTTTAAAACAAGAGCTGAAAAAATGAAAAGATACATCTCATTTTGACATGATAGTTTCCCCTAAAGTGAACCTGTAAATTCAAAGTCAAATTATGGCAAGGCATTTCTGAGGTTGTCGACATGCTCGTTCTGTGTTACCTCAGAGGAATGCACGTCCGTGATGCTTAGGTCAGTTTTGAAAAGGAAGAGTAAAGAGGAGGGACTCACCGTCCTGGAAAGACCCAGTGTGGAGCTGGGGCAGGAACAGTCACGGAAACCCACGGGGAAGCACAGAGTCAGAGACAGACCCGAGTCTACCGTGGAACCTGCTCTGGGATGAACGTGGCATCATAAATCAGTGGAGGGAGGGAGGTGGCCTAAAACCTGCTAACTGAATGCTTATCTCAGGCATATACAAAGGCGAACTCCAGTGCGAAAAGTAACATGATAAAGCTAATAGCAGATACTGGAAGTGTTGAAGACCATCAAAATGCAAACTAGAAGTCGAAAATGTGAAGTTGACTACATTTAAAAATTAAAAATTTCTTTTAAAGGACAGACAAAATTAGCAAAGCTAACAAAAAATGACGGAATGAGAAAATGTTTTCATAACATCTAAAATTTATAAGAGATTAATATCTGGATTACACTGAGAAGCCTAAGTTTTTCCATTTTTAAAATGAAGACAGATAATAATAGTATAAAGTGAAGTGCTCAGCACAGAGCCTGGCATACAGTTAATGCTTTCTGTTTGCTGTTGCTAGTTCATCTGTTCTTACTCCCTGTAAGAAAACACTTTTGTGTTGAGCATTATATATGGCCCCTGAATTTCTGGTTTGTGCATGGTTTTATGTTGCTAGCTTATGGATTTGCAGATAAATGCACGTGCAAACATCTAGCCAGTCTCAGTACACACAGTCCTACTTGAGAATGTCCCCCATAAGCCAATGGTTAAAAGAAAAGTGGGGAGAGTATTAGAGGCAGCTCCCATGATGTGGAGGTGAGCAAAATGCTGTGGGCACCACTGTAGCTGTGGAACCAGCTGCCAAGGACACCTGCCAGGTGATGTAATAAGAAAAGTATGCTTCATGACTTGAGGTGTGGGTCTTGTGACTGTACTGTTCCATCCTACTTGAGGCTGTGGGGCCTGAGTGTGTCATGTCCAGAGGACGGAGAGACTAGATGAAGCAGCTCCTGACTCCTTAGCTGCTTGTCCAGATCTGACATGTGGTGGTGGTGGGTGGCAGGGCCTGCTGCGTTCCCTGGGGACCCCACACCCAGGACGGGTTGGCCACAGAGAGGTGGCTTTGCTCATGGCCAACCAAACCTGCTCTCTGAAAGGAGAGCTTTGCCTTTTTGTACTTTATGACTTCAGCTTCGGGGAAGAATTTGGCTCTCCCACTGCAGTCTGAAAATTTAGATGATGACGCACAGGGCAGAAGGCAGCGTGCTGCCCTCAGTGGCAGTGATCTGAACTGGGTCCCATCCTTGGGCTTGGGGAGAGTCAAGCAAGGCAGCCCGGGCTGTCCTGCAGACAGGAAAGGATAGGAAAGGCGTGACAACTCTGCACCCAGCTGTGACACACTGTCTCCTTCAATTCCCTGTACCCTGTGAAATGGACATTCTTGTCCCCACTTTACAGATGTGACTACTGCAGCTCAGAAAGGGAACATGGCCCAAAGTTACCTGGCTTGTAAGTGATATGCTGGGATTTGAACCCTAGGTCTGTTTGAATCGAAGACCCACAGGTGGGTATTTATCTATCTATCTATCTATCTATCTATCTATCTATCTATCTATCTATCTATCTATTTATTGTCCTGCTCCATTCTCTGTACCTGAAGGCTTGGACTGAGGGTGGGTGGGGCTGGATGAATCTATGGCTTGGTGGACTCCATGTTAAGAATGTCTGGCTAGTCCCATCTGTGTCTGATCTTGGCAGGAGGCTCACTTAGGTTGTAGAAAGCTAATTACATTTCCCAGAGCTGCATCCAAACACATGCCCCTGTGGTTAGCCGGTTTTAGGTATGGTTTCAATTTCTCAGCAAAAACTGTGTTTCTGTGAAATAATGACATTTTTAGTGTTGTGTTTTCCTTGTCATTCAGAGAAGCCTGAACTTCCAGGAGACACACTATATACCATGGCTGGATTCCCTGCCCAGGAAGAAGCCAGGCAGGGCCTGCAAGACGGAAAGGGCATGCCCCCAGGTGAGATTTCATTTCTCTGAGCTTCTGGGATCTGAAAGGTACTTTGAAGAACTGGGCTTCTTTAGCTGTTAACAGGGACATCTCTTGTCCAGACATTTGCAACTAACTTTTCTTTGTGCTTGAGAGACGACAGCACTTTTGTGCTGGTGCTATTTGGAAGTCAGCAGGGTTGCCAGAGCCACACATTCTTGCCCCTGTCTCTAAGGCCCAAGGCAATGACTAATAGTGATGATAATCATGATGATGAGAATCTCAAACCATTCACTGTGTATTTGCCACGTGCTGGGCAATGTAGTACATTCATTTTATATGTACAAAATTCCACTGAAGTATGTGTTATTTTATATTTGTATGACTGCCAAAAAGCAGAAATCCTACTTCAATGGCTTAATCAAATGAGGGGTTTATTTTTCTCACGAGATAAAAAGTCCAGTAGCAAGTACTTTAAGGGGATTATGGGGCCCCATGATGCTATCAAGAACCCAGGTTCCTTCTCTGGGGCTTTCTTCCTCATGTTTGCAATGTGGCTGTTCTACTTCACGCACCATATCTACTTCTTCTGAAAGGCAGAAGAGTGAAGTCCAAGTGACAAAAATGAAACAGGTGAATGCAAGTGAATGTGCTCCCTCTAACAAGCTTTCTCAGAAACTCCAACTGGTGCTCCCATTGCAGCTCATTGTCCAGAACCGTGTTGCATGCTGACATCTAGCTGCAAGGGAGTTTGGTAATCCAAGAGTGTTTAAGCAGGAAGAAAGAAAGGAGGGATGAATATTGGCTAGACAAGTAGCAGTGCTTAGCTCATATAACTAATATTTGTTCAAAATTTATAGACAAGGAAAGCGAAATTAGAGGTTTTGAGTGTTTGCCAATGGTCACCTCGCTAGTGAGTGACACAGCTCAGAGTTGAATCTAGGTATGTCTGACTCTGAAGCCACATTCCTAAAAGCTCTGCCAGAACTTGGACCTGATACTTGGGGATGGTTGGGATGGAGAAAAAGGTCTTTTGGGGGCTCTCCTATGGAAGAGAAAGGATGATTAATTTGTCAGCTTCTTGAGAATAGAGTGAAGATCAACATGTAAGATATGGAAAGGCAGACTGTGGCATACAGTGCGAAAGGGATTTTCCAGCAGAGAGTAATGAACGGTTATATGGGCTGTACGGCAGACTCTGGCCCCAGAAACATGTGCAGAAATTAGATGACCAATCAGAGAAGATTTCTGAACTGATTGAACATTTTGGTCTATTGTGAATTTAAGATTCTGGATCTAGGAAATGGAAGTGGCTGATAGAATGATCAGGGTTGGAGAAAGGCCTTCATTTGGGTGTAGAAGCCTCTTGACTTGTCAGAGCTAGAGTGACAACACAATTAATTTATGATCCCACTGGGGCATTTTTGGAGTAAAAGAGGGATTTATTAGTAATTACACTGGGTGAGTACCAGTATCATTATAGACCAGCTGGAACCTGTGGCCACCCCAGGAATAGACTTCTGATGAATGAAGGACCGGGGAGGCCTGGACTTCACAGGTAGTGGCCAAAAGGACGGACACTCCCATGCCACATCCATCCACTTCCATAAGCTGGGCCTTCTAGGGGGCCCTTCTTTGCCTATGCTGGAGTTTGGTGGTAGGTGTCGACCTTTGACAGGTAGGGACCACGTGTGGCGACTAAAAACATGCTTGTGACACCGGTCCTCGAGCCCTAGTTCCCTCCAGCACGACTCATTCTTGAGAGACACTGAGGCCAGATAATGCTGCATTTCTTAGTGAGTCACGAACCTGGTCCATTTTAGGCTGGGAAGGAAACTGGAGTTTACTTGTCTTGAAATCTTTCTCATCTTTGAAAAACTGCTCTTCTCAGTGACCTTGGGCGAATCACAACCTCTCTCTATTGTTTGGCTTTTCCTTTAGTGGAAATGAAATGGAAATAATAGCTACATGAAAGAAAAAAAAATGATTCAGGATCTTCCAGTGAAAGATGCCAGGTGGAGCCAAGTGATATCCTTATTTTTGTGACGGTGACTGCAGGGCCGCCTCTCGTCCCGTCCCTCCCACTAGGCCACAGGGCACGGAATAAACACAGCTCTGGCAGCGGCCGGTGTTTGGTGATGATGATGGCACTGACACGAAGGGAAGAAATCTTCCTCCAGCTTGTGTTCCAGCATTAACCTTCCCACACCTGGCTCTCAGTGTGCATTAGTGGGAAACTGGAGGCTGGGAGCAAGCTGGTCTCGTTGTTTCGTAACCAAGGCAGCCTGTTCAGGAAACCTTTTAATAATGATGCTATTACAATATTGTCTTTATTCCTTCCTTAATTCCTTTATTCGGTGAACATTAATTGTCTCTGTGTACCAGGCTCTGTTTCCCAGGCATGTAGCTGGATCCGTAATGACCAACATTAAACTGTCAGAACCAAGGTTTTCTTCCAAGAGGTAAGGATTGGATCGCACTGGCCTCCTGCTGCAATCTTGTGTCTCTCCTGTCTGACTCGGCACTTGAGAGACATTTCTGAATGCAAGACTGCTCTCGTTACCCATTTCCTAAAGGATCAACTCCAAATTTCTTAATATGGTATAGAAAAAAGCTTTAGGATTTGCTCCCTACTCACCTTTCTGTCTTATCTCTCACTGAGCCCCTTTTAGAACCAAGTTCCAGCAATTGGGACATTTCTGTAGGTCCCCAAATATACAGCAAATATTTTAGATTTGGGGGATCTTACTGTCTCTGTCACAACTAGTCGGTGATATGGTTGCAGCATGAAAGCAAACATAAGGAAAATGAAAATGAATGGGCATGGCCGTGTTCAAATAAAACTATTTACAAAAACAGGTGGTAGGCACAATTTGGTCCATGGGCTATAGTCTGCTGATCTTTGCTCTAGGCCTTTGGTCACATTGTGCTCCTTCACTTGCCTACATTAAGGACCCCTTTGTTCCTCCCTCATTTATCTGACCATTAACCATTCCATTGTTAAGACAAGTCTAAGGCCTTTCCCGACTACCCTAAGTAAACTGGTGACACACCACTGTATTCTGTACCTTCCACCTACTTACCTGTGTTTTCTCCCTTAATTTGATTGTTGGTTTTAGTCCTTCATTCATACATTCACTGATTGATTCACTCAACAATATTTAATGAGGGGACAGTATGGGGCAGAGCTGATGACTTTTTAAGTCTTTGTATAGCACCTAGCAGAAAGCCTGGCACATAAACATGCCTGTTCAATGAAAGGAAATACAACTCAACGAAGAAGTTCATGGTTAAAGATAACATTCATATCTTTGGTGTAAGTGCCAGAAGTGGGAATTGTCCTCACTGATTTTGGAACCTCGCCATTCTGAGAAAGGATTAGATCAATTGATTCCATTTGGAGGTTTCCTTTCCAGGTTTCTGTAGCCTGGCCTGCAGTAAGGCTGTGGCTCCTGCCACTGTCCCTTCTCACTCCCTTTTCTAAGTCCCCTGGGTCCTGCTTTCTGGGGACTCCATCTGGCAGGGCCAAGAGTAGCAGCTCTGACTTGTACACTCTCACACAGGCAGGTGACCAATTCATGTAGAATTTTATCAACAAAGTGTTGACATAATTCAGTGGGTTTTTTACTTTTACTTTTACTTGTATATAGAAGGTCTTATTTTTTCCATTGCTTTCTGACAGAGCAGGGCTGTCTATACTAAGAAAATTAAACAGTTCACTGCATGATGATATTGAAATTGCTTCCTTGCAGTGTCTAAAACTTTTTTTTTTTTAAATCTACAATCTCGAGCTCTATGAGAGTGATTCTGAGATAAATGTGAAAATGAAGCTTCTCATATTGCAGATGTCATTTCATGGATCCATGGAGCTCAAAAGTATTTGAAGAAGTATTTGAATGACTTTCCTAAGTCATTTTCTTCAATTTGCAATTCATTCTAAATATAAGCAGAACATTTATTTAAGTGATTGTCACCAGTAGAACCAAGATGGCTTTATCCCATTTCAACCTGGTCAGATGTACACTTTCAGTGGTTACCGGGAAAGTTCTATGTTTGTGGTCAGAGGCAGAGAAAAGAAAATGGTTATAGTTGGTTACAAAACAAACGTAAAACCGCCACATGGCTTCTCACTTTGTAAGAGCAAATAGGAAAGGAGCCTCAGCTGGGGGTTGTAGCAGAGTGTGTGTTGGGTAAACACCAGAGAAACTGTAGAACATTCTGGGTCTCTTCACTTTTTTTTTTGAAGTCAGCGTGGGAAGTGGCAGCTGAACAGAGAGTATAAGATTCTCAATTCACAAACTCACCCCCATGGTAATAGAAAATTAAATAAATCTGAGTTTCATCATGCATGGTCCTTTTCACTGATGCAGCCACAATCCACCTGACCTGACATTTTAGACTGGCTACATTTATGAGGGAACCATGGTGAGAAGAAATGACGTGCTTGTGTTTCCGAGGAGGAAGGGAGGGACAAGGTCGTAAACTGACCTTTGGTTACAAAAGAAAAATAGGGCAGTGTTGCTAAATGACTAGAGCCACAACAGGTAGTAAACACAGCAAGGCCACAGCAGAGGACGTGTGGCATTAGTGAGCTGACCCTGTTGCGACACTCATACAATTTGGCGGTAAGGAACTTTTGGCAAGTTCCTCATTTAGTAAGCTGTTGCCCATACATGTTCAATGGATTTATAATAGTGTGTGTGTGCATGCATGCGTGGAGGTGGGAAAGATGTTGGCAAATGAGTTTCATAAATAAATGTGCTGCTTCTCTGGGGCATTAAAGTTTAAAATAAAATACTGTCTTCACTCTTGTTTCTGGTGGTTCTCATCAAATGTGGTGTCATCACTTGGCAATGTCTGTCAGAGGTAAAATTCACCTGTCCTTTGGCTCTGAATTCTACTTTAAGGTGTTGATTTATAGTTCTATTCATAGGTATGTGCAAGAATACATTTATGGGAGGCAAAGCCTAGAAACTACCTATACACCTGTGAGGAGGGGGTGGGTCAATTTTGGGACGTGCACACAATGCAATACGGTACAACGGTTGAAGTGAAAGGTAAATCTAACTGTATTGCTTTACCATGGACCCCAAGATGTCTTGTTAAGTTTCTCTGGGGAACAGAGGCTGTGTGTAGGAAAGAGGGCACCCAGATGCATACATGCTTGTAGAGATGTGTAATGTGTCTGGGAAACAGACGGGCGGCTGCCCCCACGGGACGGACTGGGAGGTGGGCGCCAGAGGCTGGTGGACACTCACTTTCTACTCTGTGCAGTTTTGCATTGCTTGACATTTTTGTTGGCTATAAGTCATTTTTCAAAAAGAATTTTAATGGAAATGTCACTCTTCCCAGTTAATTAGGGTTTGGCTGGTGGTGGCATCAGTGCCTAATGAAACAGATTGAAATATAGGGTCTGATTCATGCACTAAAAATGGTTGAAAACCCTGCAGAAAAAGGGATCTTTCAGTTAAGTGTGTATTTGGGAAGAGTATTTCAGTAACTAATGAATAATAGAGAACATTGATTCGGGCTGCTATTTTTATGCTGACAGTTTGGAATCCTAGAGAGTTCTATAGAAAGCCCAGCACCTCTCCCCAGGATGTCCAAGCAAAGGCCCCTTCGAGAAGGGTCACCCTGACTTACAGCCTGCAAAACAATTAATGAAAGCTTCCCAACTTCTTGTATATCCTAATTTCATAGCTCTTAAAGAGTCATCATTGCCATTTCTCTGTTCACCTGTGGATGACTGCAGAATGCTTGGGAGGATAAACACCAGGTGACTTATTATATTAAATAATATCCTGTTCATTCTCAGGAGCTGATAAACTCGGTGGCCTTTAGAAATCAGTCATGTGACAACTTGGCTGCTTCTTGGTCAGAAAAAAAGACGAGGACAGAAGAAGAGCCAACACACATCCTTTGTTCTGAGGTCAACATTCAGTGTTTTGGGAGAGGGTATGTGACAGGACACTCTTCATTTAACTAATAGCCTATGTTATTTCTTGAAATGGTAGCTTTATTGTTAGTTAATGCTTCATTTGTCTGTGCCTTCTTTCTTCTCAAACAGACTGTAAGCTCTTTAAATGCTAGCCTTCTGTCTTCATTCATTCATTTGTTCATTTATGGAACAAATATTTAATGCATAACTGCTACACATGTATGCTTTGCTGAGCCATGGGGGATACAAAGATGATAAGTCGTATTCTTTGCTTTCAAGGCATTCACATTCCACTCATCTCTTCACAGTCTGACAGTCTGATTTGTACGTGCTAAGGTTATTGATGCAGAAGGGGCTCAAGAAGGTGTGTAATAACTGTTGGTTGATTGAGAAATTGCTCATGCTCTGAACCCATGAAACTGTGGGTGCACATTCAACTTTTGCTGATGGACTTGCAGTAAATACCGGATAATTTCAATGATAACACTTAGAAATGCAATTTCTGTCTTAGATCAGATGTTTCTAGACCTGGGAATGAACTTCTTTAGGACTGATGTTGAAGAGAACAGTTACTCCGGCCCAACAATAGCCAGCACTGTGAACTCCTTAGGAAGCAGGCTCACCTCTCACACGGACAAACCGCCACACTAACAAAGAGCAAGGAAGAAGGATGGTGGTCAGAGAAGCTACCATTTCCTGAGTGCCCACTCATGGCCCAGAGCTCCACACTCTTCATGTCATTTAGTGGACTACCCCCCAAGGAACATGGTGACCCTGACGTGGAGAAAAAGAAATTTTTGTTGGCCTACTGGTTAATAGGTGACAGATATATTTGTATGCATGTATGCATGTATTTATAATCAACAATTAAGTATTTACCGAACACTTCCAGAGGCTAGCTGCTAAAGTTGTATAAGCCACAGTCTATGCCCTGGAGAAGGTGAATGATATAAAGAAACACACCCAAAGTTAAATAACCACATGAAAATGACACAATAGTAACCAAGAGGATTTTAGAGGTGGCTGGATCCACAGCAAACATTTAATCTAGAGTTTCCTAAAAGGGTATGTATGCATCATTGGTGGTATGCAAGTTGTTATATTTGGGTGGTATACAAATACTTTAAAATTTCATTAAGTATTTATTTTAACGTGTTAGAAAAATGTATAACTACTGTATCAAACTCTTGGGTATATGGATAGTTCATCTTACTGCAAAGTTACATAGATACGTGAGTTGCTTTAAAGATGATGTAATGAAAAATATCAAGTAAGTAGCCACGTTCAGCATTGTGATTCCGGCATGTGGTAATGATTCTGTCATTTGAATGTGTTATTTGAATGTTCTGAGTTTGGGAAATGCAGATCGAGTCCAGTCTCTGGGATGCAGAGAGCTTAAATGAGTTGTCCACACTCAAGAAGCCAGTAGAGACCATAGATGAGAAACTGGTCACCTGACTGGCCCTCTCCCCCACAGCCTCGGCCACTACTTCCTGTTTTACAGATGAGGAAACTGCAGCCCTGAATAACAAGTCTCCTGTGTGAGTGCAAAGACTCACATGAGAATCTACTAGCAGAGTAAAAAGATAAAGTGTGTCTCATGAAAAGTCAAAGTTAATATTTATAGAGTGTTTACTATGCATGCCAGTATTGTGAAAATTTCACACACTCTAATTTATGTTAATTCCCAAGCCACTCTGTGAGATGTACATAGCTATTTCTGGCGTTCCTCTGTTCATGAGGAAATTAGCAAAGATCAAATAACTGTCTGAAGATTGTAACTTGCAGGTTTGGGGCCTGAACCCAGGTAGTTCAGTTTCAGAATTTGTTCCCTTAACCACTGTACACACAGCTCACCAATAAGTGAAGAGGTGAAAGAGGCAACCCGTCTCTCTGGTGAAACTGGAAACAGTCTGCTCAGGCGACATATTGTTGCCCTGTGCCCTCCTGCTTCAAGTTCCCCAGTTAGTCCCTTGTCTATTTCACAGGAGACATCGTTTCTTTAAACCATCACTTTTTAATGTGCAGAAGCTCCTGAGAGGGATCAGTGATTTCCGAAAGCTACACTCCCATAAGGAAAACTCGTTAGATTACTGTGATGAGAAACGGGGGAACGGTTTTCAGGAACAACTGTAAAGGACACATGGACAAAACCAAGGGGAGTGTGGAATCAGGGAAGGGAGGTGAGGATGGCTGGGTTTGGGGAGGGGGGAATACAAACAACTGTACTTGAACAACAATAAAAAACTAAATAAATAAAATAAAAAGTGTTACATTTTTTTAAAAAGGATTATATAGCAATAGTCCCACCCTGAAAGGGAGGAGAAGGAGAAAATCAGGAGAAGTGAATGAAGAAAGGGATAATTTGGGGACACAGCAGGGCTGAGAGTGACATGGGAGGGGAGGCCCATGTAGGACTGGCCCAGTCTGTTGCAGGGGGCACCAGGTGTTGTGAAAGCCCTGCCCAGTGCTTGGCACAGCACCGGGCACAGCAGATGCTCCAAAGTTTTGTTGAGTGAATGGAAGCTTGGATGGAAACAGTAGCCAGGCAGCATGAGTACAGTGATTGGAGGTGAGAGGGCACCGAAGCTCGACCTACTTTGTAACTGTGCTCCAGGTAAGCAGTGGGGAGGAGAGCACAGCACCACATTTCTCATCAACAAAGGAGCTGTGAGCAAAGCGTTTAACAGGGCTCCTGATGTAACTAGGATGCCTTGTTTGGGCGGGGGGGAATCCTTTTCATTTTTGTCACCTCTTGTAGCAGCCCCTGTTCAATCTTCTGGCTGAGAGTTTCTTAGATTAAAAGTCGTCATTCTCCCTTCCTCCTGGGTGCTTCAGGTTAGGCCAAGGGTGTCCGGGAACCAGAGCCAGCCAGCCCCCTCCGTGCTGGTGGTCAGCCTGTGCAGTTTTCTCCAGCTTAGCGCCAGGTGCTGACAGCTGCGCCATTCCACGCACCTTTGAGGCAAAGAACTGCCGAAACCAGGGCCAAGTTCAGAGCCAGAAAATGCTTCCTGAGGCTGTGAGGAGAGGCCTGGAGGTGCTGCCCAAGTGTTACATAAGCTGGATGTTAGCACCGCTGATGCACAGAGCTCCGAATTGCACAACTCTTACGCAGAAGCACTTGTTAAGTGTTGCAACATGACTCCCCATCCTTATCAAAATGTGAAACAGCCACCCAGCACACACTTCGAAAACACTAAAGCTCTTCTCCAGCAGATGGTTAAGACTGCTGATCCAGCTGACAGGAGAGAAGCAGCGCAGGGGCATGACTTACTGTAGCTCTTGGCCCGGGAAGCTGAACACTCAGTACCCTGTACCCCACTAGCCTTGGGCAGCACAGGACTCTGATAAAATGTACTGTTTTGGGTGTTTGTTTTTCCTGGCAATCTCGTTTTGGGTTATAAATGGCTCATTATTTCCATCCCATAGATCCATTCTTGACTCTATTATGTTCTCTTCTTGCTTTCCGAAATAACCAAAAGGCTGGTAAAATCATCACTGAGAAGCCCGTGTGTTCTGACCTTGAGCAGAGGCCGAGTTGCCACACCATTCTTGCGTCTACAGTTGCTGCCACGTGGGAGAAGCTGGCTGGAAAGGGCCCCGAGAGCAGAGTGCCAGGAGGTGGCACGGGTTTTCACACACTACATTTCCACAACCTTTTCAGAGGACTGTTAGGCAACCGTCAGAGGTTATGAAGTTGGAACAGCATCCTCCCCGGATAGGTCATTTTTCCTGCAGGACAGCTTGTAGGCAAATTTTATTAAGTATCAAATAGCTGATCCAAAGCAGTATAAATAGCGAGAGAGAGCATGTGACGAACCCAGAACTGAATGTGGTCCAATCCTGGGCTGAGTGTGTGTGATGTGTTTACTGTCAGCAGCACCTGCGCGGAGACGTTTGCCCAGCTACTGTCCAGGAAAGGTGTTAGAGCACAGAAATGGGGATATTAAGGTTGCGTCTTAGAAACTAATTTTATCCCCACTTAGAAAGTTCGCTGACCACGCAGTTACCAAGAAAAGGACTAGATGTGCTTAAGTGTCATTGAAGAGAAGTAGAGACTGATGGTTATAAAACAGGCTAAGTTCATCCAGGTAAGAGGTGGGGGGGAAAGCATGGTTTATAGTGGGGGAACTGTAAGCAGTCTCTACCAGGCAAAAGGGACCTCCAAATTAGACACGGCGGGCCTTTTAATTCGGGCCCATTTTCTTCCGTTGTTCCTTATTTTATTTAGAATGTAACCAGTGGAAACCACGCTTTAATGAGGCTGATCGGGCCACAGATGAGACTGGTTACGTACAAGAGACCATCAGGGTTTCTAAGGCCAGTTTTCTGAACCAGCTGCTTCCTCAGTCCTGTCCCCATTGGCTGGAGCTGCTGACCTTCCACAAGATAATCTTGTGTTCTTACAATGGTGGGAGGAGGCTCTGGGAAGACACCTGTAACCTGGACAACGGAATTTGTTGAACGCTCCCACTCAGAGACAGCAAGCTTCCGAAGTGTCCTGGTCCAGCATGCACTGTGGCTTCCTGGATCCCTGGTAAAGGAAGGCTTCTGCTCCATCAGGATCCAAATTCCAAAACTATTCGGGAGGGTGGCAGTATTGTTAGTGTCTGGCCCCTTTGGAGAAGACAACAGCCCCTGAATATATCAATTCTTGTATGTTTTATTAAGAATCAGTATCTTTACTTTGTTTCTAGGATGGAGACCAAAAGGGCCACAGGCATTCAGAGGCCTGAGCGACCATGAAGGGCTGAAGCCATCGAGAAGTGCCTCACCGAGGGTGTGGGGCACGGGTGGGCCTAACCTTTCCCCAGACTCACCCTCTCTCCCCCGACTGTTTGCTCCTTTCCCAACAGTCGCTCTCCACTTTTTTAAATTAGTAAAACGACCCCAAAGTGGCAATGTGCCTGGCTAAAGACTACATTTCCCAGCCTCCATGAGATCTAAGGAGATGTTATTGGGTGTGCTGTGTTGCCAGATAAAGTATGGTCTATCCAGTTAATTTTTAGTTTCAGATAAACAAGAAATAATTTTTAATATAAGTATGTCCCATGTAACATATTAGTATCTTTATTTGCCAAATCTGGCAATTCTATGGGTGAAACATCAGGAAACAAGGTAGGATACTCTTTGTGCCCTCCCCACCCCCTCTCTTTCCTTCCTGGGACATGGATGGAATGGCTGGGATTTCAGCAACCATTTTGGATCCTAAGGTTAGATGGCAGAAGAGGAGGACAGAAAACTTGGGTCCCTAATGGCCGCACACCTTCTGACTTCATATGTGAGAAGAAACCACTGATTTGCTTTAGCCACAAATAATACCTGTTATTTGTATCCAATTGCTATTCCTGACTGATGTAGCCATAATAAAAAGTGCTCTGTTATTTTTGGTGTTAGCTCTGCCGTCTTTGCCTTTGCCTCTTAATAACATAAAGCACTTTTTTATACTTACTATGTATTTTAAGGACCCCAAGAGGGAATGGATGGTGTTCCCCATACTCTTTAAAATGACAGCTCTTAGCATGAGTTTCTACATAGCATTATGCCTAACTATTTTGCAAATAACATTTAGGTATTTTGAGTAATTGCTTCAGGTAATAATAATAATAACATTTCTGAAGCAGAACAGTTCTTATCTTTGAACAAAGATTTGGCAATAAAAACTCAAGTCCTATGAAATGATGATCCAGAAATACAAAGCCACATTTCAAAACAGTAAAAATCACATTTGAAGTTTGACATCCTGCTTTAAGAAAGTTTCATTTTATATAGTTTAAGTCTTCATTAGCCCTTATATCATCAGATTCCCTTACATGCTATAAAGATCAGGTAAGGATAGTCATGAGCACAGGTAAAGCTAATTTGCAAAGCTCCATCAGTATTCAGGAATGATGTAGAACCAAACTCCATCAGCCTTATTAGCAGATCTACTGCTCTGCATGTGAGGCATTCCGGGAAATGGAGGGAGTCATAGAATTGGCCTCTTTACATGTAAGTGCAAGCTAACTAGCTTAGCTACTTGTTATGTAGAGGAAAAAAAAGTTCCCCAGGCTGTGAACTATGTAAGTACCTGCCCTTCGTTTTGCAGTGGAATCTTTCAAAGGTTAAGTAATAGTAAATAATCAACTAAGATTTCTCAGATTGGCTGCATTTACTATTCTCTGAAAGAAAATTTCCCCTGTGAAGACAAAATAACTTGGGAATAAGAGCAGTATTTCCTGCTTCAGACATTCAGAGAACAAGATCAGGCCTGGCCTGACTGGCAGAAGCTGCCTGGGGCAGACAGCTAGATTTGCTGTGTGGGTGAAGGGAGGTAAGTTAGAATTTAACAGAAGGGAGGGGAAGAAAACTCCCATTTCATTTTGTAAGTTTCTGCACAGGCCTTTCAGCAACATTCACCAGCAAGACAGAGGCAGGCAGAGCCTCGCTCCATCATGGGGGTGTAGAGAGTCGGGAGTCATCTCCCAGAAGGTGGGTTATATCACAAAGGAACAAGTAATACAAGTTACACACAAATGGAGAAAGAATAATTCAGAAGAGCTGGCCTGATGTTTGGGGACAGGCCATGATGTCATAATGGTTAGCTCAGGAGAGGTGACAGATGAGGCCATTTGCATGCATCTGTATTACAGATGTGAATAAAAGTTGGACTGAAGCGAAATGGGGAAAAAACCCCCAAAGTGAATCTGTTTATTAGTGTTACCTACACAATGTTAAAGAAGAAGGAACTTATTTCTTTGGTCTGGGGTACATTGCTTTATATTTTTATATAAATATAAATATATTTTATATTTATAAACATAAAAACAGGGTACACTGCCGTTTATACGGATTGTCCATTCAGCAAGCATTTGTGGAGCACACATTGTGCTAGGTGCTGGGAATGTACCCAGTATTATGGTGCTGACAACCGAAAGGATAAAAATGCCTTTGAACTTCACAGGTAGCTTAGAATTTTACAAGACTCCTCCATTCCTTGCTTTCAACAAAGCACAACCAGAGCTAGCCACCTGCCTGTACCATAATCTTAAGACCATGACAATGTTCTGTTCAAAACAAAAGTGTACATAAAACATTAAATTTTTAAAGCCTTATTATAAGGCCTGTAGTAAAAACCAGAAGAACTTCTTATGTCAGAAATCTTTTCTCTGCTGCTAAATAATAACAACTCTGGACAAATTTTTTAATTTCTCTGGGACCAAGTTTAAATAAACATTTATAAAATGAGGTGGCAAAATGTAGGACTAGATTGATTTAATGACTCAGGGTTTAGGACGAGCTGTAAGAGGAGGTTAAGAGGCAGACAGCTACTTACTAGCTGTTCATTTACTGTAGGAGCTCAGGGTAGTTACTTAAACCTCTTAACGTCTGTTTCCTGATCTGAGAAATGGGGATAATATGATATTTGTTGTGAGAGTGAAATGGAGGAATGGGAAATGTACTGGGTTCAATACAGGGCATAGCAGAAATCTCTCAGTCAGCATAGCTATTTTTAGCCTACTCAAAAATCTATTTGAAGTTTGACCTATTGTACGTGTGTACGTGTGTGCATGTGCATCTCTGTCTCTCTGTGTCTATTGTCTGTCATCATGGATCTCTTATTAAGTCGTTAATTGAGGGATCTCAACATATTGGGGCACAAACATGTAATGGATTCTTTTTTTTTTCAGTCAGTACTTTCAATGGTGCTATGTCTAATCCTTTTTTCCATCCTCAACAACACCTAGGGTAGATTGTAGAAATTAGCAGTTTTTGAAAGCTAGGTCCATGCAGGTTGAATCTCATCCTGCTTCATAGCCTCTCTCCTCTCTCCCCGCTTTCCCAGGCTCTGGCTTCTCCAGTGTGCGGGCCGTGGGGAAGGGTGGGGAAGAGACCGAGATCCCTGTCTGTGGGTCTCTCACCCTGTGGGTGCTGTGTCTCAGGCTAACTCTGTGGGCACGTTGGTGCCCCTGTGTGGTGGGTGCTAAAAGCTGGTGGCACATTTTGTGTCTTTGGGGGCCCCTGCGAAGCTCTTGACTAGACAGTTCAGTGACCTAGAAGACTGGTCTGGGACAGACTTCCTCACCTCCTCAGCTCCTGCCCCGGCTGTCACCTCTCCAGCCTGTTGGTACTCTGCGGCTCTACCTCTCTGGTGTCCAGGGGTTGTTTCTATGCTTGTGTGTAATTTCACTGATATTTGAATTGTGTTCCAAGAATGCAATGTTCGCCCTTTGATGCTTAGAGCTCCCAGGATGTTGACTACTGGCTGAAATACAGTTACAGTTAAATAATGGCACAAGGGGCTATGCTACATCATCGTCGTGGTTTAACTCCAGGGATTTACTTATCTTTTCATTAGTTCAGATTCCACTCCTTTATTAAAAACAAGGTGGTTAATGTAGTGATCACTTTGTTTATATATATGTTACTATATATAATTTTATATAATATACCTTATATGTTATCTATTATATTCTAATATGTAACAATATATAATATTATACTTTTGTCAGAGAAGGCACTCTTTCCCTTAACAAGTTTTAATTAAAAATGCTTTTATTGACTATATATATTATATTAATATTTATTATATACTTTAATATTTCTATATATCTTATATTTAAGTACATACTTATATATCAGTAAGGTCATTTTCATTTCAAATTTGTTAAAGGCTAGAGCTCCTGCTCTGATAAAAGTAAGAATTTAATTGTTCATCTCATCAAATTTTTATTTTACATTTATGTTCTGGCACAATGGTATATCCATTTCTTTTAGAGAGTATTTAACACATCCATAAACTTTCTGGGGCTTCAAAAAAACTTCAAAAAATTATGACATAACTTACACAAAATACATGAATTTTAGTTGTGCAGTTTAATGAATTTTATATACAGGGAGGGGCAAAAGTAGGTTTAGAGTCACTGGTGTGGAACACAATACAATAATTAATAAATAATAAAAAATAAACTCTGTTTTGAATACTCACAACTATAAACCTACTTCGTGTATCCATCTATGTGCCATGAAGAATAAACAAAGTGTATTTTATACTATACCTTCATTATGCCTGTTTTCTTTTTAAAAATATATTTTATTGATTATGCTATTACAGTTGTCCCATTTCCCCCTCTTCATTCCCCTCCACCCTGCACACCCTCTCCTACCCACATTCCCCCCCTTTAGTTCATGTCCATGTGTCATAAGTTCTTTAGCTTCTACATTTCCCATACTATTCTTCCCCTCCCCCTGTCTATTTTCTACCTACCATCTATGCTACTTATTCTCTGTAACTTTTCCTATTCTCTCCTCCTCCCATTCCCCTGTTGGTAACCCTCCATGTGATCTCCCTTTCTGTGGTTCTGTTCCTGTTCTAGTTGTTTGCTTAGTTTCTTTTGGTTTTATTTTAGGTGTGGTTGTTACTAATTGTGGGTTTGTTGTTATTTTACTGTTCATAGTTTAAATCTGCTTTTTCCTAGATAAGTCTGTTTAACATTTCATATAGTAAGGACTTGGTGATGATGAACTCCTTTCACTTGATCTTATCTGGGAAGTGCTTTATCTGCCCTCCCATTCTAAATGATAGCTTTGCTGGATAAAGCAATTTTGGATGTAGATCCTTGCCTTTCTTGACTTGGAATACTTCTTTCCAGCCCCTTCTTGCCTTCAAGATTTCTTTTGAGAAATCAGCAGACAGTCTGATGGGAACTCCTTTGTAGGTGACTGTCTCCTTTTGTCTTGCTGCTTCTAGGATTCTCTCCTTCATTTTAATCTTGGGTAATGTAATTATGATGTGCCTTGGTGTGTTCCTCCTTGGGTCCAACTTGTTTGGGACTCTCTGAGCTTCCTGGACTTCCTAGAAGTCTATTTCCTTTGCCAGATTGGGGAAAATTGTCCTTTATTATTTGTTCAAATAACTTTTCCACTTGTTGCTCTTCCTCTTCCCCTTCTGGTACTCCTATAACTCAAATGTTGGAACATTTAAAGATGTCCTGGAGGTTCCTAAGCCTCTCCTCTTTTTTTTTTTTTGAATTCTTATTTATTCATTCTTTTCTGTTTGGTTGTTTCTTTCTCCCTTCTGGTCCACTCCATTGATTTGAGACCCAGTTTTCTTCCCATCACTGTTGGTTCCCTGTGCATTTTCCTTTATTTCACTTGGCATAGCCTTCATTTTTTCATCTAATTTGTGACCAAATTCAACCAATTTTGTGAGCATCCTGATCACCAGTGCTTTAAACTTTGCATCTGATAGGTTGGCTATCTCTTTGTTGCTTAGCTGTATTTGCTATGGAGCTTTGATATGTTCTTCCATTTGGGCCATTTTTTTTTTTTTTTTGTCTTGTCGTGCCTGTTACGGAGTAAGGGGCAGAACCGTAGGTGTTCACCAGGGCGGGGCACCCTGGTT